GCTAAAAGGACAGCTAGATCAGGAGTGGAAACATAGAAATGAAGATCTCATGGAGGGTTAGCAACAGGGGAGTGGGAGGAGGAGAAGGGGAGAAGGTACAGAAAATAAGTAGCATAGACAGTAGAAAGAAAATTGATGAGGGGCAAGAATAGTATGGGAAATATAGAATCTAAAGAACTTGAGACACATGGTCATAAATTAAAGGGGGGGTAATGGTGGGGACGGGGGGGTAGGGTGGAGGGGAATGAAGGGGGGAATAGAACAACTGTAATGGCATAATCAATAAAAAATAAATTAAAAAAAAAGAAAAGGGTCAAGTTGGGGTGAACTAGATGAGAGTAGCAATGGTCAACCTTTCCCCTCTCATGTCACACATAACTAATTACTAAAATTCTGCAGCATACCAAAAAAATTTTTTTGCTAATTTGATTAAAAAAATAGTTAAAATTTCTATTCATTCCCACTGGATGGCTGTTGTGTTGGTTGCTGTCATTTCTTTATTGGATAATCTAAGGGAAAGAAGTTTATACCTCTGACTAAAGAGTCAGGTGTTACTTGATTAAAAATTCTGTGGCACACTGTTCGAAAATTGTGGATCAGAGTCAGAAACATCAGTATACAGTAGTGCTTAGCCTTCATATAGTTAGGATGAACAGTTAGAGCATAACTCTACATTACAAATGTATACAGAGTACATAAATATATACCTCCTACCTCTGTGGACAAGAGTGCCTAGAAGTATAACTCCAGTATCAACAAGCAGAATTGGGAGCCAAATATTGGTTTTCAATGCCACTCTTTAACAAAAGAAAGGAGACTCTTCATAGAACTGTGATGGTAGAAAAGGTAGCCAGAGAGGAAACCAAAGCAGAGAGGCAGAGAGATCCATGTCCCACCCACTGTCTCAGCAGTCCTTGAATTGTATGTATCTTTTCCATTGTCTGGGAAAGAAAGTTTTGAAACTGTGCTTTTGCCTGGAGTCCTGAAAGGACACATAGCACCTAAAGGAAGAAGTCCATTTACACCCTGGGGTAATCACTCCCCTGGCCCAGAAAGCTACCACCACCTTTACATGTCAATTAATTTGTAATTCCTCTCACCCCTCTGCCTGCCAACTATATAAATCTTCAGAACAAAGGACACACATGCTTGCCTCACAACCTCATCTTTGGCCACTCCTACCTTCACCTTCTTTATTGCGCCTTGCCCTGAACCTATGCCTTTCAGCACCCAGACTTCACCTTAGCTAGTCCCATTGTCTTCCCTAAGAACAGAGCACAAGTAAACCCTGCTTACATGTTAATAGACTAATTGATCTTTTTTTTTAAGCCCATTCACTTTCATTTGAACATGCCAGGCTCTCCCACACCTCCTTCCCAAGTGCTGGTCTCTCACTGGCCATCTTCAGAGCTTCCCTTATCATTGATCTTTAATTCTTCACTGCATTGACAGAAAGAACTGAGTTTCTGGGAGTTTGTCACTTAATAGAAATAGTTGATTTTGTGATGGGGTAGGGGAAAATACCAGACAAGCCTCTATGTAGCATTGTGTAGTAACAGACAGTGAGGGAATGCTAAAATAACAACCAGCGACGGCATGAAACTCTGTCAATGGGACACAAACAGAAAGAGTATGAATGATGAAAGTGGAACAATTCCAGCCAAAACAAAACCTAGTATTGGTTATTTTCCATAATGAAATATAAATACATGAGAACACTAAGAAATGACTCAGCAAATAAATAATTGAGGAAAAAAGAGACAAATCTTGCTGATATGATGTAATGAAAAAACATTTCACTTTGGTCTCTGAAAACTGTAATCCCAGTCACATCATGAGGAAATATCAGCAAATCACAACTGAAGAACATTCTGTGAAATACCTGACTAGTACTCTCAACACAGCCAAGGTCAACAAAAATCAGGAAAGATGGGGAGCTTGTCACAAACCAGAAGAGATGAAGTAAACACAGTTACTAAATGCAAGCAGAAGATAGGATTTTAGGGGGAAACCTAATGATATCTGAATAAAATCTGCAGTTTAGAAAATCACAGTATAATCACATACTGCGTCAGTCTTGGTTTCTTAGCAGTACAAATATATCTTGTAGAAAATATTAAGCAAGAATTGCACTCATTTGTATAGCTGCTATAACAAATTACTGAAACTTTACTTATTTACAGTCTGAAATCCATCAATTCAAAATCATTTTCCCTGGACAAAAATCAGTTTGCTGCAAGAGCCATGCATCTTCTGGTGGCTGCTGGCTTTCCATGGTTCATGGTGACAACCCCTTTGTCTCTACTTCCAAGGTCACATTGCTCATTCCCCTTTCATCTTTTATCTGTGGTCACATCTCCCTGACTTCCTTTTAGTTTTACCTGGGAGTGCCTTTAGGGTCCCCAAAGATGATCCCAGATAAAAACTTTATTTTAATCACATCCACACAGTCCTTTCAGGACAAGGAAGGTAAGTCTGGAAGGTTCCAGGAATGAGGACAATCCTTTTGCACGCTATTATTTAGACTGTTATAGGGTCACACTGAATCTGCACTGTTTTAATTATTTTTTTGTAACTCTAAAACAATTCTAAAATTAAGTGATTATCTAAAATAGTAATTAAGAATGGTTCCAAGAAGGGAAATATCACCATAAGAGAGAAGTGAATATTTGTGTTATGCCACTTAGCCCACAAAATACCAGCATGACAATATTAGCTTATCCAAGCAAAATCTTACAAATGGTGAGCTACGGAAGCCTCTCATTCTATTGAGACAGCAAATTAGACAAAGACACATATTTGTGTGGGTACATTTTGCGTAGTATAGAGCTCTGTGGAAATCTATATAAAAAGTATAAATTTTAATCCCTGAACCAGCATACTGAATGTGCTATATTTTTATGATTAATAGATACTGCCATGTTTATATTTTATGTAGATATCTGGAATCATATTAGTTAGTTACATTTCACATGTACAACATATTTTAAAATATAATCAGATACTGACCCTTAAATAATCTCATATTCAATGCCCTTCATGAGACATTTGTCTAAGTAAAACTATACAATTTAGTTCTGGCTGGTGTAGCTCAGTGGATTGAGCATGGGCCTGCAAACCAAAAGATCAAGGTTCAATTCCCTGACAGGGCACATGCCTGGGTTGCAGGCCAGTTTCCAGCAGGGGCCAGTTCCCAGCAGGGGATGTACCAGAAGCAACCATACATTGATATTCTCTCCTTCTCTCCTTCCCTTCCCTTCTAAAGATAAATAAATAAAATTTTTTAAAAAACTATACAATTGTTGCAGATGATTCATTTGCTTCTGTGATGCAAGAACCTTTGTGTTTGAATTTTGGGGTGCACACAGTGAGAGGGAATGCACAGGAAAGTAGAAAATGAGCTGTGCTTCTGAAAATGCACTACACATCTGTCCAGAAAGTATATGTTATGGATGATACATTTCAATGACCAATAGTTTAAAAATTCAACATACTGATACAGCTGGACTCAAAGCTTAACACTTTTATTCATTTAACAAATACTTATTGAAAACTGAGTATGAAATGGACACTCATTTAGGAACTGTGGATCATGTAAACAAAAGAGATAAAGCCAATGCTTTCATAGAGTCTAAGTTCTAGCTGGGGAAGAGAGATAATAAAGTGAACAAGCAGACATTCAATAGGTAAGGACTCATGAGGACCATGAAGAAAAACCCAGACTGACATGGCCGGGTGGGTCAGTAGCCTGGAGTGTCATCCCTCACACCAAAAATTTGCAGGTTTGAGTTTCTGTCAGGACACATACTTAGGTTGGGGATTCAATCTCTGGTCATGGTGTTTCTATTTCCTTCTTTTCTCTCTAATATAAATAAAAACAAATCCTTGGGTGAGAATTTTTAATATCATTTTTTACTGTTATTTTATTATGGTTTTCTCCGTTTTTCCTCCTTTTCCCTCCTCCACCCAACCCATCACCCATTTCTCACACTGCTGTCCATGTTCTTGGGTCATTCATACATGTTCATTGTCTAGTCTCTTCCTTTACTTTCCACCATTATTCCCCTCCCTGCCTCTGGTCACTTTCAGTCTCATCCACATTTACTTGCCTGTGGTTCAAGAACAAAATGGGTGAGAAGTTTTTGTAACGAATACCTCAGAGTGAAAGAATATTCTGCATGGAAATAAACAATGACTATTTTACACTGCTGGTCAAGAAAGAAACCTATGATAGAGTAACTTTTAAGTGCCAACCTTAATGGAGTAGGTGAATATACCAAATAAAAAAGAGTAAGTACAAAGGCTTGAGGTGCTAACATGTTGGGCATTGTCAGGTTAAATATAGGAAGAAAATCAGTGTGAATGAAGTAGGGTGAAAGAATGGGGAAGTAATAGGATGAATATTATAGAAAATGGAGAAGCCAAAGAACTTGTATATATGACCCACAGACATGAACTATGAGGAGGGAAAGATGGTGGAAGTGGGCATACAGCATGGAGTAAATATAGGGGAGTAAATACAGGGGAAAACTGTTTATTGATAGCATTATCAATAAAATATTTTAAAATATTTTAAAGCATCATTAAATAACAAAAGTAGACATAAAATATCAGCATTAACAATTTCAAAGCATTTTCAGAAGCAAAATGTACAACATTGTGGGTTTCTATTCAAAGATGTAGGAATCCTCCTGGGGCATATGGGTTAACGTTGCTCATGACCTTCTTGGTGGCCCTGTATTATGTATATTTGCATTGATGTGGTAGAAAAAGATTCATGTTGAATGAGTGAATAAAATATATTCTTAATAAGGTTTCTGACAAGTGAACACAAAGACACCTTAGCCTTTCCTGTTCAGAAACACTTCTGGGTATAATGTGTCTCATTTTTAGGACAGGAGACTTCACAATGGGCAAGGAGACTATTTTGGGACCTTAATTTTACTGTGGCCTTAAGGAAACCAGGTTACTATGCATCACACAATGATCAAATCATAATCCTAGATAGAATTTTGCCTGTAAGACACCTTCATGAGTGCACTCTTAACCTCCTTGTTCCTCAGGCTGTAGACCAGTGGGTTCAGCATGGGGATAAACATAGTATAGAACACAGAGGCAATTTTGTCTGTGTCCATGGAATGGCTGGACTTGGGCTGTAAGTACATGAAGATGATAGTCCCATAGAAGATGGAGACTGCAGTGAAGTGGGAGGCACAGGTGGACAGAGCTTTCTGATACCCCGAGGATGAGGGCATTTTCAGGATGGTGATAAAGATGAATATGTAGGAGATCACGATAACCAAAATTTCAAAAAATGTGTAGAAGCTTGCTACACAAATAAGAACGAGCTCACTAACATGAGTATCAGAGCAAGAGAGAACCATGACTGCTACAATGTCACAGAAAAAGTGATGGACCACGTTAGACTCACAGTAACTGAGGCTGAAGGTGTCCCCAGTATGGATGGAGCCATTCAGCAACCCAAAGAAATAGCAACATATGGCCAGACACAAACACACATGTGTTGTCATTGTGGTGGTGTAATGCAGGGGTTTGCACACTGCCACATAGCGGTCATAGGCCATGGATGTTAAGAGGCAACTTTCCACACTGGCAAAGGCTACGAAAGTGAACATCTGAGCAGCACATGCATTGTAGGAGATGACCTTGTGTCCTAGAAGAAATCCAGCCATGACTGTAGGAGTGACAGCTGAAGAGTAACACAAATCCACCAGAGACAGGTTACTGAGGAAAAAGTACATGGGAGTGTGCAGACGAGAGTCCAAGAGAATCAACGCCATAATTCCCAAATTCCCAATCAATGTGATGAGGTAGATGGCAGTGAACAGGATAAACAGGGGCACCTGCAGCTCTGGGTCATTGGTTAGTCCAAGGAGGATGAACTCAGTCACTTCTGTACTGTTCTCCATCAATGAGGACAATCAGGAAAATGCTCAGTGGCTAGGAGAACAATGAAACAGTGAGAAAGACATTTAACTCAAGAACTGTACATGCAACATGTATTACTTTGTTATAGCAAGAACTTGTATTTCAAGATTCTTCAGATAAAATATGGGCTTCAGAACAAAACAAACTGCATTAATTATGTATCTGTTTACATGTTATTGAATCTGAAGGATCTTTGTGGGAAATTGCCCTAATTTTCAAGTTCATCAGTTTGTAAATTGAGATATAGTAAATTAAATAAGCGGATGAATGGCTTATCCAGAGTGAATTTATCTGTCAATTAACTTTTCCAAAGCCTAGTGAAAGCATATACTTGCATGTTGTTCACCTATCAGAAAGAACTTGAGACATTTTAAAAGTATATACATTATGTCCTCTTAAGAATATTATGTCTATTTTGTTATTACAATCATTTAAATTAGGATGCACAAGAGGCTGTATGATTTTTATATTCAAAGATGTATTAATTGACAACCCATGCTTTGGATCCACATCGACCCTTGAATCCACACTGAGTGGTTTCTAAGTCTGATGGTCTTAATTGCATTTAAATCACATTGAATTCTACTCAATGTACAGATACTCCTCATCTCCCTTGTTTAAACTGAATGCTTGGGGTTCATAGTGTCATGACTGAGAGATTTATAGGTTAGGAACATACACAACCAAGAGATGCAATTCTGTAGACAATGCAAAGCATCTGATACAGAGCTTGGACTCTGGGCTGAGGTGTGTAGTAGCCCAACTATTTGCTATCGAGAAATAATTAATCCTAACCTAACTTACCTGAACCCTATATAATCACCTGCAAAATTAAGACAGTAATAAGCCCTACTTTATTTATAGTGTTATTGTGAGAATTAAAAAGGTAATATATTAAAAAAATAAAACTCTGGGTTTGGCCCAGTCTGATGAGTGCTGGCTATAATATTACTGTTAGGATGATATGATTGTCTTTATATTGGTTTGGGAATAATGGGTGGTGACCTGCAGGTCTTCAAGTGAGCAAGGGGTTTAAAGTCTTAAAACCTTCCTCTTCAGTTTGCCTATTCTCACATTCTGGCGCCACTGAGATTTTCTGTATCTCCAGTTTCTCCATTCAGTTGCTTCACGCATAATACTATCCGCACCACCAAGTCCATGTGAGCCATTATTTTGCTTAATTCTTCCTTGATATCCATGTTTTAGCACAAAGTAGCCTTCATTTTAAACTCATTTTTTTCCTTTCTTGCAGAATCACAGAATTCAGGGTTGAAAGTTGCTAATTTGTTGGCTGCCTTTAGCTTTCAGGTTTACTTTGGTAGTGAGATTCATGTTTAAATTTTTTATATAAATATATTCTTGACTGAAAACAGTGTTTTCAGGCTTCTAATGTGAATGTGAGTTCTTCAGAAGGACACCCACTGTGCACTAGTCATTATTCTCCACCACTGTCCTAATTCTTTATATCTTCATTGTCCAGGACTAGCACCTAAAGTTATTAGCTTTGTCAACCTCTGACAACCATAACCACTTGTGGAATATATTAAGTTCTGCAAACAATAATAAAAACTATGGGTATATTTAATTATAATTAGGTATGTGTACACATATGTATGTAAATAAACATAAATTTTAATTTAATCCTCACAATAATGTTGTAAGGTTGGTGATACTATAATTCCCTTTTGACCATTATGTCAACTGGGGAGTCGAGAGGGTATGCAAAGCTCTATAATTGCACAGCTAATATGAGGGAAATTCACAATTTAAATTCATCTGTGTCCAAATCAAAAGCCTATACTCTTAGCCACCTCAGCATCAACATTTGTACATGTGTTCATAATATGGTAATAAGGATGAGGTTATGGGAAAAAGAGTACAATGGGTCATGCTGATTCTATTACAAAACTTCTGTGCTTTAAAGGAAGGTTTTCCACTCTCTTGTGCTTTTATTAAACATCCAGTGAAAGTACAACAGGTAGCAAAGAAGGGGAATTAAGACTCACTCAATAAGAGGGTTACCTTTTGCTTTGGCTAATCTTTTTAGCAAAGCAACATAATGATGTTCCATAAGTATCACTATACTCCTCACTGAAGTTTTGACATTTAAATGCTACTCTCAATTCATGGTTTTAGAAAACAATGTTCAAAACATCTGGTCACCTGCTCAAATATCTCATAGTAGGCACAGCTGCCCCATGGATTTTGCATAGATTAGAGTTCTCACTAAAAATGTGTATGAAATGTAGAAGCTTACCTTGATCCTGCAGTAGGAGGGACAGCCAATCCTGAATAGTGCTTCTGAAATCTGAAATCTAGTCATGGAACAATACATATAAATATATACTCTCGGTGATGTTCTCTATCAGGTACTGGTGAAAAGATTCCAAGATCTCTAAGACAAGTAAAGATGGAGGAAAACCCCAACATGAAGTCAGAAAACTGAGCACGAGTCTTGTGTGCACCATTAACTCTTACTGTGCTTTGGAGGAGTGCCTTGTCTTCTCCTTAATTCTAAAAGAAACAATAACATTACCTCTCTCATATAGTTTACAGAATTTCTTGTAAATAGCAAATTAAGAAAACTCTTTAAATGAAGAGGGGTTATCATTTAAAAATCAATCAATACAATATTCATCTTGAGATGTTTTCCCTGGCTACCATTGCAGGCTTACAGCAAATCCTCAGATCAGAGGTGGAGGGAAGGCCCACATGCACTAAGAATGATTAGCATTCAGATAAGTAAATTATAACTAAGGCACCTTAGCACACAGTCTGGCCCCTTTAAAATGATTTCATGTTGCATCATGTTGAAATTTCAGAGGCTAACTCATGGGAATCAAAAGGAGCCATAGAGACATGTGGTTCTTTGGGGATGTCTCCCATGAAGACTTCCATAAGACTCACACGCCAAGTTCTAAAAAAGGAAGCAATCGAATTACTTGTAGGAACTGAGCTGGATATGATGAGAGTGCACATGTTTTCATATTATTTGTTAGTGCTCATTCTTTTGTATTTTCTAGTTACAGTATAATTTACAAACAACAATAATATCTGTAGTTTTTAGTGCATAAATCTTCAAGTTTGATTAAATGTATATGTGATCATAAACAAAGTCATCATATAGAAGAGTTCTATGATCAAACAAACACTCTGAACTTCCCCTGGTGATCAACTCCTTCTCCCATACACTGCCCCAGCCACTAATTTTTATGTTCAAATAATTTTGCCTTTGCAAGAATGGCCTATAAATACATTCCTAGTCTACATATCTCTTCTGTCTGGCCTTTTTCACTTAGCATGGTGTTTGTGGGTTGAGCAGGGAATCCTTTCTTCAATTATATATGTTCCAATAATTGAAGTTGGAACTTCAAAGAGAGAGGCCAAGGAGTCACCTCACATTACCATTCCTCTGATGTCACCTCCCAGATTTTTCCTCTTTAAAAGAACATGAGACATACTGGGTTCTAACACTAGCCTGCTCCATTATGACTTAATCTTTCCTAATTAAATCACCAAAAATCTTCTTTCCAAACAAGGTTACATTTTGAAGTACTGAGGATCAGGACTCCAAGAAATAAATTTTTTAGGAACATAATGCTACTTGTAATATTATTAGTAAAATCTTTTTTTTATTATAATTGAGTAGTATTCCATTATATACATATCACAGATTGTTTCTGCATTTCTCAGTTGTAGGGCACTTGGATGGGTTCCAATATCTGCATATTTTGAAGACTTACTAAATATCTGTCTAATGTTGTTTTTGCATTGTACTTTGATAATTTCTATAAGCTGAATTGCTTGGTCAGGTGGTGAATATATGTTTAATTGAATGGAAATAAGTGTTTCCTCATCAATCTTCTATCTGGTTTGTCATAATTAAATGTGGGATATTAAAATCTTCCACTAATATTGTGTTACTATTTGTTATTTCATTGTGTTAACTGTTTACTTCATATGTTGGGCATATTTGATGCACATGTATTTATAATCACTATATCTTGCTGGAGATTTTACCTTTTGTCATTGTATAAGTCTTTCTTTGTCTCTTTTTATGGTTTTTGAGTTAAAGTCTATTTTGTCTTCTGTAAATTTGATCAGTCTTGCCCTTTCCAGTGAGGAATTTCTAGACAGAAAGGTGAGGCAGTTGCCACTTGGTCCCCAAATTCTCAGCTTGCTGTACCTTGGGCAAAGATCTAACAATATGAATGGGAACTGGATGGGAATTGGCAGCCCCCATCCACTCAGTTTTGCCAAATGGGAATAGTGTTTGTTTAAGGTGAACCTGGGTAAGATGAGAGGTCAGTGTCCTGCCCCATCGTAGGGTGGAACTGCAGCTCTACACTGATACCTGGAGTTATAGAGTAGCCATGCTTCTTGAATGCATTTCTCTGAAATAGAATTTCTACCATACAGCTGGGGGTAGAGCAGGAAAGGGGAAAGTCATAGCCTGAATGCTACTGACTTGGATTTTAGCAAGTTGCATACCTTTTCTTGGAAATGTTTTCTCCATTATCAATTTGTCCTTAAGGCCATTTCAAGAAACTTTAAATTGTTGGGTTATAAATATACTATTAAAACTATTTATTTATTTATTTTTTAGAGAGGTACCTCAATGTGTGATTACCTCTAATGTGCCCCCCTGCTGGAAAGCTGGCCTGCAACCCAGGCATGTGCTCTGACTGGGATTCAAATCATTGACCCTTTGGTTTACAGGCCAGCACTCAACCACTGAGTCACACCAGCCAGGGCATAAAAATACTTTTTTTATCCATGTTGCTGTTTCACTGGAAAGAAGGCTCATTGAGCTCTTAACAGTGTATGTAGAAGGCCTACCACTAAAATTATCTTTAATAAATTTATTTAAGTTTTTATTGTTGACACTATTACAGATGTCCCCATTTCTCTCCTTTGCACATCTCCATCCCACCTCAAACCCCAGCTTCCTTCTAATGATCACCATATCACCATCTACTTAGACAGG